TATACATACTTATGATAAGATCATTAACTCTCATGCTATAGTAGGGGTAAATCAAATGATAAATAAATTATAAGTGTAAAGCATTGATAGTATTCCAGAGATAGAAATAGATACTCATAAATGTAGTATGGCTAGGCAGGAGATTAGTTAAGAGCAAAAGATTTCTAAGTAATTCCTTATTTACTAAGTCTTTTGTACACCCAAGTATATACAATCTCATCTATAGCATAATTAACTCCGGATCTATGCATAAGGAACATTACTAAGGAAGATCAAGAACAGAGCTCGACTCCCTTCGCAACCAGGTTTTACTTGCTCTACAAACGGGGAGTGGACTACAAAGGACTCAACGGGAGTGTCACATCCGCGATCTACCATATGACCCAGAGTGTAGAGTGCATCCGCAGATAAATAATATTTAAGCACCATGCTTACATAATGTCGACCACTTAACTCACTCGAGTATTGAGCTAAGCTTACATATGCATATATTCATAATCAATCATGACTATATCAAGCATATAACTAGAGCAAACTAGGAACATAATAAATAGCAACATAATATTGAAGTAGCATAAAGTCATAAAATAAAGAGGGATACAATGGATATACCGGCCTCCAAACGGCGAATCCGGAATCCTGAGCAATAGCTCAAACTCTACTTGAACCTTGCTAGCTAGCCTATACTAGAACTTTGAAGAATTGGAGCTCTATTCTCTTCTCTCTAGAAACCCTAATTATTTATCTAATCTTGACTTATGGCAGATTGCTGAGGGAGAGGATAGGGGCTGGTATATATAGGCCGTAGCGTCAATTCTAGACCTTCGGATCAAACCAACTTGAATAAATGATATACATGCAATCTAGGAGGCGGTGGAAGAACTGACGTCGAAGCGGAGGCTGCCAGGTGGGGCCAAGGGGTCGGCCGACCTACAGGTGGGGCCGGCCAGCCCCACATGTCATCCTCTGCAGGTCTGCTTCGGTGGCGTGGCTTCTGGTGTCCTCTGAAACCTTCTGGAGTTGATTTCGCTGCTGATAAGCGTGATTTTATTTGACGTTTTGATCCCCCTTGACGGTTTTCTGAATAAACCCTGCTGAAAACACAAATTCACCAAAAGTAGTGGAAATTATCAGTTTAAACCCTTAAGTCTATGTTGGTGATCATTTTCATGCATTTATTCAAGTTATGTTAATAGTTTATGATGGATGGTAACTACCGTCAACAGTTACCCTCTGTTTGTCGATGTAAAATTTGGTTCCTACGCAGGACACACGACAAGCCTAGAAGATCTGCTTAACTTCAAATGTACCTGTCGGTTTTAGGTTTGTAGACGATTTGACCCTACAATTGACAAGAAAAAAATAGTCAGTAATTTAAGGTGGAACATATCGGTGTTTTCCCAGATAATTCCAATGTGCGGCTAAAGAGCCGATATGATAAGGCTATGGACTAAAGAGTTGATATCCAGCAATTTGATAGGATAAAACTATTAAAGTAATAGTCATCGACTAAAACAGGGTGTATTCAAGTATAAGCATTGAGCCGATGGGAGTGAAACGGGATAAATCATGGAGGCCCAGGCTATCGGCTACTAAGCTGATGCAGCATAGTCAATGAAGCATAGCATGGAAACAATCCTTTATTTTCATATAAAAGGCCTAAAAACTCATAAAATCTATTTTACTATCATCACCAAATAGTTCAAACTGATACAGCGTTGGTAAAGACAATAAAACAAAGCCAATGAGTCGATGATCTAATTATATGTAAACAAAACCTTGAAGGCATGCTATAACTCGTGAAAGCTCAAGCCATCGACTAATGAGCCAATGGAAACATAGTGTGTGAGCAATTTCCTATTCTATTAGTAAACAAATCCATAAATTAATAAAATCTAATCTACCATCGCCATTAGACAGGTCGATACGATGCAGCGCTAATAGCAGGCGATAAGCTAGACTAAATTAGTCGATGGATCTATTTATAATAAAATAAGACCTTGAAAACACTATGGTTGACTAGAATTAAGATACAACAGCCGATTTAGCAGGATTTATCGTCAAAACTAGGATTTAATCGTGATAAAGCAAGCAAGACGACAAATCAATATGATAAAAGCTGATGGATCTTAATTTAGTCGGGTAAATTGGTGATTTTGCTAAAAATAGTAAATTACTAAATCTAGCAAGATCGATAACTGGTGAGAAGTGAAAAAAGGAGAGGAAGGAATGAGGGGATCTAGGTCGGGTGCTGGGAGCCTAGGAGGAGGTACTCTCCACGAAATCGCCCGTAGAAGGTTGTCTGTAAAAAAGATAAGGATCTCGAATTTTCTCTTCTTTACGTTGGAATAAAGTTTAGATGAAGGGTCTACACGTCAAATGCTTGAACGTGCAGACTGTAGTAAACCGATTGAGTTGGACTACGGGTTGATTATTGGAAAAGTAAAGGTTTTTTTTGATAAACCACCAGGAGCACGTGTCGGCACGCCAGGCCTCGCTAGTTTGGGAGTGACGCTAAAATAGTGAACAAGAAACAAAAATACACACAATGAATTAAAATTCTTGCAACAATTCAATGGTCACATATATTAAAAAAATCAGAGAGAAAAGTATGGCAGAAAAAGTCACAAAAATAGTGAACAATTCACAAAAAATCGTCACGGTGAATTCCTGAAACAATCAAACTGTAGAATCAAACCTTCACTTCCATAGGTCTATCAAAAGGACACAAGCATTTCTCTGTTCATAGAAAACCGTGAGATGAATTTCCAACATTAAGGAAAGCAGAAGAGACTGTTACCAGACTACATAATTATGGCCCGCCCGCCTCCACTCTCCAAGCTCGGTCGGTGGTCCTCCCGCCTCCAGCCAGGAGGCGGCGGCCCGTCCGCTAGGTGGGCTGGTGGCCCTTCCGCCTCCGGCCGCTAGCGTCCCATCCTCAGCCGGCCGACCGTCCGCAGCCAGCCGTCCGTTCGCCTCAGCTCCGCCTAGATCGACGCCCGTTCGCCCCGAGCCAGCCGCCCACCTCCTCGCAGCGAGTCTCCACCACGCCGACGCCCACATCGACAATATCGCTTGCCTGATCCAAGCCTCCGTACAGGCGCATCTAAGGTTTGCCTTGGACCCACTGCACCGGTCGCAACATCCCGTAGTCTTTCTTCCGTCTAATGTCATGTGAATCTATAAGTAATTGCATGGCGTGAGCCCTTCCCTGAACCCTTTCCCTTTTTTATGTGGAATGTGATGGATTGTGTGGTGGTCATCGTAGGTAGCATCTTCGGTGACTGGATCCGTCACCTTCCGCAAGAATCTGCTCTGCCGCTGGTTTGATTGGAGAGATCTATTATCTTCAGCCACATTTTGCTACGCCACACATCAGAAATTGAGAAGCACCGTTGAGGTTCACTTGTAGACTTAAATTTACTGATGTTCCTTTCATAATTGCTATTGCTAATTTTATTGATAAGCGATGTTTCTTTCACTGTTTCTACAGCCTACAGCAGCAATAGAAGCACCCACAGTCATCTTCAGTTGTCCTTTTGCTTCAAGGTACAACTATTTCTTTTCGCTCTATTTAGTAATCTGCTCTCCAACTAATAGAGATGAATGGTTGTTATGTTATGTTTGCCATTCTGTTTTGCTTTGCTGTTATGTGGTTGTATCGGTTCAGATTTGTTAACTTTGCTAGGCAAATGTCTTGTGTTCGAGAATGATAGTATCTCTTTGAAGTTGTACAATGCAAGCTTTTTTTTTTGAAACAATGTGACATAGACAACATACATGGTATGAATTAGTAATTAACACTTTCATATTTGACAACATACATACAGCTATGAAATCGGTATTAATTATGACAAAAAAAAACCAGCTGGTCTAAACCATTTTAAGTAGACAACTGATATGTTTTGATGTCAGAATGACAACATGCAGTGCAGCAGTGAGGGAGTGGCCTCATGTTGATGGTTACTGTAGTTTCCAACTTTCCATCTTAGTTTTAACCTCATGGTAAGCTGTGATGGGGTAGGGGTAGGGTGGTGCAGGTGGGAAGGAGGGAGACAACCTGCCTGCAGCCTCCCTTGGCCCTTGAAGCTTCCTGTCCCTTGGGTGGCTGGTCACCAGAACACAGCTTCCGCTATATAAAGACTAGGAAATCCCTGTTTCCTGAACCCAGGTTATACATAGTTTATATGAGTACAAATGACTAATATGCCCCTTGATCATTTGAGTATGCTGGCATGCACATCCATCATAAAAGGGCAGGGGTCTTAGTGTCCAGTGCCCACGCTAAAATATAGGGGTCCCTGATCCTTATTGTTGACTTGTTTGGTTGTCTTGGATGTGCTTTGCTAGGCTGCTAGACACAGTGCTACTTGGCCAAGCAATCTCAGAGACACGCTGAGATAGGATCACCTCTGTTTTCTTTTATCATTATTAGAATCATATATGTTGTGTTCCTTATTGTGTGTGTGATTATTTACAGCAATATCACTTCTAGGCTAGATTGCCATTAATTAGTTCAGCTCAGCATGTCTATGTCTTGAGATATACCTGAGTCTCCTGGCAGACATTTTGGTGGGGCTGTTACTAATCCAAACAAAATGAGCACACAGGTTCCAGGAAGTGCTTTGCTATTCCAGATAAAAATACATCTGGCAACTTCAAACAACTCTTTGTATGTACATAGGGAGTCTTAGATTATCCAAGTATTAGGTTGGTTTTCATTCTGAAAACTAGTAACATATATCTGCTTCAAAGGTTTGTACATGTTTTTTGGAACTACTTGGTACTTGTTAGCACACCAAAAGTACAGTATCACACGAGATGTACCACTTGCCATGCCAGCATGTATATTCCTGGATGTCACCGTACAAGTAGTCTCCGGTTCTTTTCTCATGTAATGGGACCTGCAGGTGATGAAGCCACCTATGCATGCATGCATACATTGTATCTCGCCAGATAATATATAACCTAAGGAAAATATTGTGGAAGTATATACCAAAATGAAAGAGTCTGTTACGTACAGCTGGAATTGCGTATGCAGAAATTTGACTCTTGCTCCTGAACCCCAAAAGTAAATGCCTCGGTTAGGTGGGGTAATATTCTCTGATCGCGGCACTTCGTAGTTAGGCCTGGTTTAGATTGCAAATTTTTGCAATCTGGACACTGTAGCACGTTTCGTTTGTATTTGACAAACTTTGTCCGATCATGGACTAACTAGGCTCAAAAGATTCGTCTCGTGATTTACAACCAAACTGTGTAATTAGTTTTTTTTACCTACATTTAATGCTCCATGCATGCGTCCAAAAATTGATGTGATGGAGAGAGAGTGAAAAAACTTGGAATTTTGAGAGTATCTAAACAAGGCCTTAGCTAGTTCTATTATTAACCGGGACTGGACGGGAACATCGTCTAACATCGTTCTAGAAGATTATATTTGGAACCATGTTTAAGCAGACAACTGATATGTTTTGATGTCAGAATGACAACACGCAGTGCAGCCGTGAGGGAGTGGCCTCATGTTGATGGTTACCGTAGTTTTCAACTTTCCATCTTAGTTTTTACCTCATGGTAAGATGTACTTCTAGCTGTACTGAAACTGTGCTTCATGTATGGTGCTGGTGTAAAAAGAAATCATGTATAAGACAATTAATTAATGTTTATCATTCCTAAAATCCAATTGATATTTACATGGTATTATCATTTTGCAGCTGCCCACTAGTTCATCCCATGTTGGTGAGGACTTAGATGGTGAGGGCATGGATGGAGAGGACGAAGAGGACATGGATGGCAGCTACATGGAAGGAGAGGACACGGAGGAGGACATGAATGAAGAGGACATGTATGAAGAGGACGAAGGGGACGAAGAGGACGAAGAGGACAAGGATGAAGAGGACATTGACGACAACAATGGGGGCAGCAATGCTGGATCATACATCGATGACTTCTGTGATTTGGGATATATATGGTAAGGTTGCTATTGGCAGAAATAGCACATGGGTTGTCAAAGTGACTTTTGTCTATTGAACAACATAAGCTAGTGGCTGGTGGCTGTCTTTTGTCTTTTGAACATGTATGGCCGTGGATGATTAACTTAGTAGTAATTGAATGTTAGATGGACTCGGCTAAAACTAGGATGTCGTGGTAGGTGACATGGTTGTACATGTATAAATTAGGAGCAGCAAATGCTGGTGGTAGTAGTAGAATGTTAGATATAATTTGTGAGGGTAGAACCTTTGGTATGTTGGCCCGTGTTGAATGCTTTGTACGCTCTTATGGAACTTCTAATATATATTCTTTAATATTGTGATATGCATATAACGTGTTGTTTGGTGAATCAGTAACAGATGTAATTGTAATATTTTTGTGTCACCTACTAATTTCTCTGGTGGTAATTTGAGAAAAAAATGTGATTTCCTTGACGGGAAGCCATCAGAAAAATTAGGTTGAACTGACAGAAATATGTTTACTTCCTTGAGGTTGACTGACAGAAAAATTACTATAGCCCACAAAGAAATTAGCAATATCCCTGACGGTGACCCTACAGGGAAATCAGTTAACCTGACGGTTCCTAGCGCCGCACTAAACCTCCGGACGTTACAATATTTTTGTCGGACATCCGTCAAAAAATTATCGTCAGAAAAATATTTCTGTCGGTAAGCTCACAGTCAAATCTGATTTCCCTGTCAGCCTATCCTTGACGGTATATGCCTGTCGGGCTCCCGACAGAATTAATTTTTCTGACGGTTTTTCACGTTTTCTTGACGGTTTTTTGGCACACAGGAATAATGTAGTTTCCAGTAGTGTCCATACAACAAGTAAGAGGGAAGCAAGACTACATGGAGAGTGAAGAACTAAAGATAAGGAGTTTACCTTCTGAAATGTAGTGTGCAATAAGAGGAACCACCTTCCCCGCATATGAATCTCCACCAACATAGAAAGGACGATCCAAAAAATACTTTGGGTGATCATCAAACCACTACATGATCGGAAACATTTGATAACACGTTCAAATAGGCATATATTTTTTTTAAATCCTCATTTGAGTTACTCATCAAGGTTGTTGTGTGTCATCCTTTCTCAAAAATGTCAAGACCTGCCTAGAAGATGAGATGTCTCCAACTTCATAAGCTTTGGGGTCGCGTGCATAAGAGAAACCAGAACGAACAGGCGAGTCCAGGAAGAGAATGCTTGCCATCTGGCAACGACGGATATGGAGCAATTATATTGATCAGATAGAATCAACAAAAATGGTTGTGATGATGAACAACCAATGTATCTCCTTCTCACATGTGTCCAGGAATACTGATTATGGACCAATCTTGGCAATGTGCCATCGTATGGTTCCACGTTAAACTTCAAAGGACCTGTGATGCTGCTAATAATATTAGTATCATGCATTTCATCTTTTACTCTCTGAGATTACGAAGTTTGTGTGATACAGGGATAAGTGTGCGTGCAAATAAGAGAGGTCTACTCACTCTATCCTAAAACATAAAGAATTTACTGTCCTAAGTCAAATCTTAATATTATTAACCGGAGGCTTTCATCAGAACTTATCAAGGATAACTTTAATGAATAGCTCAATTTGCATATAAACTACCCATGTCAGCCATTGTGAAAGATAAAATAAAGTAACACATTTAACTTATACTCACATATATCATTATAAAATAAACTAAAAATATTCCTCAAATCTATGTCTAAATACTAATATAAACTACTTTATAAAATAATTTAACAACTATATAGTACACTATATATGTTTCTAAATTACAACCTTCTACCACTATTAGATTAAAACTAAATAAATGATATGTTCTACCATATAATATGGGCAACATACATAAATTATGATAAATATTTATTTTAATAATTTATCAATCATGACAAATACCCCTTCAACAAACACATAAGAATGACATTGTCAATTCCCTTTATTTTATATTAATACTCATGACAATAAATTTGTAAGTTGGCAATTTAGACAAGTTTATACATTTTGCTAAAACATTATGATATATCAATACTGTTAATTAAACTTTAAACGCTATAATTTTGAAAAAAAACAATACTACAACAAATATAACTATTTTATATTACAAATTCAAAGTCTTAAGTGCCATGGTGTGAGCTGAAACGACTGGTTATGCTACTGTAGTAATTAAGAGAATAGTTAGGGACGCAAAATCTATGTTTAATAAAATCTAAATAAAAAAATTGGATAAGAATTTCAATAATATGGATAACAAAATTGCAACAACTAATAAAATGAAAAGAAAAAGAAAATATAGATTCATAATGTCACGAGAAGGAATACAATAAGAGTTTATATTACTTAAACTAAGATTTTAACTAAATACATATTGAAAACTCACAGAGGTGCGGTACAAAGGATAAAAACACATATCTTAATATTACTAATAATTCTAGATTTTCTTTTTTTGCGAAGGGAAGGGGACTTATATTGGGCCTGTTCGCTGGTTGGTGCTGGTGCTGGTTTGGGCTGGCTGGTGCTGGTTTTTTGTGAGAAGAAAATACTGTTGGCTGGCTGGTTTGGGCTGGCTGAAACCAACGAGCGAACAGGCTGATTAAATCTTTGCACAGCACATCCCCAAATTACACATGAAAAAATCTGAAATAAAAAATACATATTATTCTATCCAGATTCTTCCATCGTCTTCTTCCCCAATGGCTTCCCTCGAACGCGGGAGCCAAAATACAGTCCTTATGCAGAATCCAACGACCAACCCCAAAACATTGGACATGCCGCAAGATCCAACACTTCAGAACCAGTCCAAAACGCATCTAAATCGCTGAAAGAATATCGGCAGTTGCTTCGTCGGGTACGACATATGATGCAAATTCATCACCTCGAGACCTTGATTTCCTCTCCGCGACCATCGACGATGAGATCAATGACCCGGAGTCGCTGTCCTCGCAGGGGGCTCCTAGAAGCACCCCTCCCCCTGTAGATAAAGGCTACAAAAGGCTGCCTGCCGATGAAATCGATGCCTGCAACGGCGATATTATCGTGGCAATCATCGAAGTCATTGCAGGACACACGATTCCGACCGAAAATCATCTGATTTCGCTGAAAATTTATTTGGACTCAACCCTAAGACACTAGAAAACTACGGGAAAAGGATGGGTCCCCTCCCCTTCTTGTCTCCGGCAGATGCACCGGAGAGGAAGAAGGAGAGGGACCCTAGGCGCGACGGTGGCGACGGCAGAGCGAGGAGCAGGTAGGTGGCGGCGGCGCTCTCACGTAACTGAGTGTTGATGATAATTCTAGGTTTTCAACATAGCCTCTATGTTAGAGCATTTCCAATAGTATCTAAAAAAATACTCCCTAAAAACAGGTTTTTCAACCTTTGCAAAATATACTGGGAGACGTAAAAAAGCTACAACTCCAACAGTTTCCAAAATCTCGCGCCTAAAAGATAGAAGATAATTTTACATAAGGAATCCTAAACTATTTCTAAATCACACTAACCACTTTTATACTTTATTTCTCTCTTGTACATTTGCATCGGGAACTCTGTCCTACTTTTTTTCTTCCCCACGTCCTTCCACCTCCAGATTGGCATGACCATACGCGCGCGTAATTTTACGCGCATGGGGGTGGTTTTTTTTTCAATCGCCAAAAGATTGGGAGGTGGGTTTGGGAGTTGTTGAAGATGAGTTTTTTTTTCAATCTTGCCAAAATTTCTGGATAGGGATATTGATTTAGGTACTCTTAGAGATGCTCTTAGTCCCCGTAAGATGCTTTAGAGAAAAAAACAATAAATCCTATAAACTTCCATGATAAACAGAGACATTTGTCTATTGATCTGGTTGACTCTAATCATGACAGTGAATACTAGACCTTGATTTATTCTATTTTCTAGAAAGAATTATCCACTTACGCTGCTTTTATGATAAGCATAAATAACCGCATAAATCTACAACTACACTACACAACCTCTAGATCGTGCAGAAGCACAGGTTGATGGGGGCTGTTATGGTCCGAGCGGCCGGACGATAGCAACGCGCCGTCTGGGTTATTGTTTTTCTTCCCCGCGTCCTTCCTCGCTCGTGGTCGTCCTCGTCCCCGACCCCGCCCTCCTCCTCCTCCTCGCCCTCACCCCCACCGCGGCTGCGGAGCTCCGGCGAGACCCTACCGCGCCAGCGGTGGCCTCCTTCTTCCCCTCCCCTACTCCCGCCGCCGCCATGGCCATGCTTGCTGGCGAGCACCGCTGCGACGCCCCCGCCCCGACCTGGTTCGACCGCCTCCACCGCCACCAGGACCCTAACACCGCCCTTCCGCCGTCCCCACCCCCTGGCCGGCCTGCCTCCCCCGAGCCCCTTCTCTTCTAAGCCCACTGGAGATGGAGACGAGGGAGGGAGAGAGCTGCCGAAGATGGAGACGAGGGAGGCAGAGAGCTGCCGGAGAAGGAGACGGTGGTGCGGCCATCGAGGAGGCTAATGGGCCCGTTCGGGCCCGTACATAGACTTTGCGGCCCGTGTGGTACTGTTGCGCAGCACCGGCCCGCAAGTGGCGTCGGTCCAGCCGGCCGGACCAGAAGATTTCCGCAGGTTGATAGGCTAGTTATAATAAATTTGGTCAAGTTTTCAGCATTTGTCGGGTTATAGGATACGTAAATCTTTTATCAAATACCTATTAGAACTTAAGAGAAAATCTGTTATGTAATAAAGTTGACTATAATGATCGAGATGATGTTTTCGGCTATACACAATAGCCCATGTTACATTATAAAATATTTTTTATAATTTATTTTGGTAATAAAAAATTATAATATTCTGAACTGTGACAACTCAAAGCCACTAACCAATCTCGAACGCAAGCGCGCTAAAGACGCTGCACCGGGGCCCGCCTGCCAGCCACAGGAGCAGGGGATCCGTGCTTGGGCTCCGCTCCGACTCCGCGAAGTAGTAGAACAGCTCCGCCCCTGTCTCCTCTATCTCCACG